CAAATCTGTCATACTAGCTATGAGAAGATGCTGGGAAAACAAGTATTTAAACAATTCAGAGTGGAACGTAAAAGTTACACTGAAACCATATAAAGAAATAACTGCTAATTACATCAACAGTGCTACAAGAAAATGAGCACACAGAGCGTCACAATAATGTGACTATTCTGAATATGTGATTGTTATAAGAAATACCTCTAAAAGAAATGCTCTGAAAATGATCCAAAACTCTAACTCATAATAAAACTACCCCAGAAAATCTGCATTTTGGTACCCAGCTAAGGATCACACAATAAGATAACTGCAGGGCACTCATGAAATAACTTATGTTGTTACATGTTGCTATGTAGTACATTGTGACCATACACCACTGCTATTGGAAACACTGATAATTATAAGGTAACTCATATTCCCAAAGCTCTGTACCAACCAACTTTAAGAGTTCTGGCCAAATGTCCCAAGAATTTGTTTACACTAGAAGATGCTAGATAAAGTTTTCCATTGTTGCTGTCAGTGGGGTGGCTGTTGGTAGGAATGGTGGGAATATATGGAATGATGGACTGACATTTCAAATAGAACTTCTCTGAACAAGGTTAGAGAACATAGGGTGGGATCCATGAAGGAACTCAGGCTTAACCCTGAGTGTTAACTCAGGTGTTAACCCTCCCACCCCTGAAAGACAAAAGTTTTTCCGCGACAAGTACCTGTGTGAACGGGGGGTTGCAACACTGAGCATCATGGTGCCTAACTTTTAGGTTCCTAGAAAATCACAGGAACAACACTGAGATCCACAAAGCTGAGTTTGGCACTTAGGATCCCTATACAATGAATGGGGAGAGACAGACGCCTTAGGATATGATCCAGAAAGCCAGCAAACTAGGCGAGGAGCTGCCTAATCTAACCAATGGGAGACACTGACCAGAGATGAGTGTGCCAAAGTCCACCCCTCTCTTGGATATGTGCTTAAGCCTGGGCTGCACAGAGGTGACTATCTCTGCTTGTGATCCACAAGTGGGATCCCATCTCTTGGAGTCAGGCAGATGAGATGCCTACGCTGTTTCTTGCAGGACTGAGTTAGGCACCTGCATTGCTCCACACAAAGCAGCCAGAGGAACAGGCAGTGGTGCCCATCTTATAACTTTTAGCCTAGCAGTGAGAGCATTCAGCTGAGATGTGGGAGACCAAAGTTCAATTCCACCCTCTCTGTCAGAAGGGAAAAAAGACTTGAAAAGATTCTCACACCTGTTAGGAAAGTGCTCTGACCACTGAGCTATGGGATAGTCTGATGTGGGGCTCCTTCAGTCTCCCCCATTGAAGCTGTTACACAGTGGATAAATAATGAAAGAGTGATTGGAGAAGAGGGAGTAGACCTGAGGTGTCTGGCCTCCCAGGTAGGTACCCTAGCCACTGAATTAGAGTCATTCTCTCTCTGGACCTATGAGCAGGTAACTATCTACAGTGGAACAGTCATGCCCAGAGGAAGAAACATGGGCACCTAGGGAACTTTTAAACTGAACACATAGGTGCTGAGTGATTTAGGCTCCTACAGGTTTTGGCAGCAGTTTTGCAGATCTCAGTGGAGCCCAGACTGGGACATAAGTGCCCAACCCAAGATGTAGGTGCCTAAGTCTGGGGTTTAGATGACAAAGTAGTTTGTGGCTCCCCCCCATTGAGGATAAAATGGTGGTGGTGACCTGGAGCCCTGTCTACACTAGAGCACCCACCACTTTTACTATTGGCAGAGCTGAACCAGTGGCAGCAACAGTGGGGAATTTCTGGTCAAAAATCCTAGCACAGAGACCCATTTTACTTGCTCGGGGACTGATCTGTGGCTGTGGAAGCCCATAGGAGGTAGAATTTGCTTTCCTTGGACCTCTACCTCATCTTAACCCTCCCCACTTTACAACCGTGTTTGAGGGCACTTCTCTTCCCACTGTGTTTTCCCTTCTAATGACATGGAAGGACTACCCCTTTTTTCAGTGATGCCTCTGTTTAGGATTTTGTTTGGTTTTTCCATTGCTTTGGTATGTTCTAATTCCTACTGTTTGTTATTAGGATATTGTATTAATTCTCAGTGTTGTTTTATAAATAAAATGATTATCCCCACGGTCACATTGCCTCACTGTAAGTGGAGATAGCTGTATCATGAGCCTGACACTCAGTTACGATGTTAGGAAAGGCACACTTGTATCCCTAGAGACCACAGACGTGACAAAACACAGCGGTGCCAGGAAAAGATACACACCTTCTCACTATGTCTGATGGGAATTATGATATAAAGATGGAGCTTTTAAGAATTACACTCAGCTGTCCCTGCTAACCAGGCACTTGTCCATGCTGAAATAAGCACCTCCTAAATAATTACTCAAATTTATTTACAAGAAATGAGTGGAAACAGATTCTGCTGTAAGCTTTTCTACCTATAGGCCACCTGAATTTATTTTTAATTTTTCATTCAGTGGTTTACTTGCACAAAGAATTGAGTGTCATTGTTAGCAAAAATCCAACATAATTTTTTTCAATTACTGTAGCTTATTTTACATAAAATAATTTAATTTTCCACCAAATACACGTAAGTTGTGAATAAGCAGTTTTCCTGGCAACTATGTAAGCAGTGTCAGGATGAGCTCCACCCTGACATCTGGTGGTGAGGTGTGGCAAGTTGTGGAAAAGAACTTCAGGGGCCGATCTCATTTGCATAGGCACACCCACCCCGCCTAGAATGAGGCCATAGCTGCCCAAATGGTCACTTTGGCTGCTGTGGGATCCCCAGGGTCTCTGTTATTGGGGCAGGAAGAATAAATTGTTATTACCCTGATTATGGGAATCAAAGACAGTGGGACTGTACTTGGCCTTTTGTTATGATGGAGGGACTCACCATCAACTAAGTAGCACTCGCTAGGCAAGGGTCATGGGTTCCAAAACTGTGAATTGAGAGAGGTTGGGGACAAGTATTAATACTTGGTGGTATGGGCCTCCTGGTGAGGGCCTTACATGCTAATTGTACTTCCTCCTCTCTCCACTGTGGAATATCAGAGCTAATTTTGATTTCATTAGGAGTCTAGTTACAGGCTGCTGAGCTCACTTTGGGCTAATGGTGCACCAGCACTGAGGCTCCCCTACTACAAGCTGAATTCACCAAAGAGCTGAACTGACTAAGAGCTGAAATCACTGACAGTTGTGTTAAGTAGTGGGGGAGCCTGAAGATATATTGTGGAGAAGTTTGCGGGATGGCTGGAGTGCCTTGTGGACAGGCTGGTGGAGCAGTTCATAGGACGGCGGGAGCTGCTGGTGGGCCGCGGAGCAGTTTGTGGGACGGCGGGAGCTGCTTGTGGGCCGCGGAGTGGAGCGGAGCTGAGCGAAGCAGTTCGTGGGGCGGCTGGTGGAGTGGAGCGGAGCAGAGCGAAGGCCTATGGAGCTGTGGGGCGGTCAGCTTCAGATCATGTAAGGTGCCTTTTACCCCTGCCCCCATCTCCACCCAGGTTGGGAGCTAAAGCTCTGCAGATAAACTTTTGAACTCTGGAGCTGCCCTGACCAGGGACAGAGACTTTTGGGTCATCGGACTTTTGGAACTTTGAGTGATTTGGGGTTGCTGACTCAAGAACCAAAAAGGAAAAGGCATGCCCCAATTTGCTTGGGGTGGGTTTTTTGCTCATGGGTTGTGTTATGAATCCTGTTGGTGGTGTTTCCCCAACATAATGCCACATTGTTTCTCTCTGTTATTAAAAGGCTTTTTGCTACACTCAGACTAGGTGCTTGCAAGAGGGGAAGTATTGCCTCTTGGATGCGCCCAGCGGGGGTGGTATATATTTGTCCCAGGTCACTGGGTGGGGGCTCGAGCCGGTTTGCATTGTGTTATTGGAATGGATCCCCTAGATATTGAACCCAGCCCTTGTTGCTGCCAAGTCTGACGGACAGAAGGGTTACAACTATAATTGATAAGCAAGGCATAGAACAGTGCTGTAAGTACAACACCTACTAAAATACACATGCACCTGTTATGGACAGCTTTTGCTCCTGCAATTGCTATGTATGCAGGCAAATTTGTGGTTTACCAGGTACATTGGTTTTCAGGCATTTTGAGTAGTAGACAATCATTGTACATGCAGCTGAAAATATGGCCTAATATGTCAAGGTAATTGATACATAGATATCAGTGGAATTATTATGTTATTACTTTCCCCTTCGGAGGGGGGAAATTGTTTTGCACACTATCTCACTGATCTGTAACTTTCAAATAATTCTCCATCATGAGCCTCTGCACAAAAAAAAAATAAGTAGAGGCCAATGGGATGTTTGTTCACTTTACACGTCTCTAATATTAATATCACAAGTGCAATTTTTTGAAGTCTGCCACCCTTGGTGAATGATGGACAGCATGCATTGAAGCCAGGGTAGAGAGCCAAGCAATTGAAAATGATGTATTACTGTACAAAAGAAAGAAAATAGAAGACAGCCCTTTTGAAATATTGATACTGTTCTAACATTTTGATTTTATAAGCGTTTTGAAAGAGTTGTATTTTAATTTAAACAGCTTAAAATTGCGAGTTAACAATTAACTGAACCTTAATTATCTTGATCCTTTCTTCCACTGCGTACAAACATCTCTTCCTTGACACAGCTATTTCCACATACAGTTAATTTTAATATCATCCCCTCTGCAGTGTTTTTGGAAAGGGCTGTCTGAGCACATTTCCATTAGCAGGGCTTTGAACAACATTTAAAGCCTTATGTGATCTCAATTTTCTCTACTCAATGCAGAAACATCACTATTCTGTAATTCTTGAAGCATTTCCCCAAGCTACTGGTGACTGTTTGCACACTAATAATAGAGCCACAGAAGAAGGGAATATATGATGTGAAAATGTTGGAGAAAAAGGAAAAAAAAACAAGCAGTCATAATTACTTTCAGAGACAAAGCATTTGGCAAAAGAATCCTCTGCTAAAATTAACCCTACTGGCAAATACATGTACACCTAACTTGCTATGATATTCCATACCTGGTAATGCATTAATATATGCATGATGTAATCATATATTTCTCCAGCAAGTCTGTTTTCTGGTCTCCAGGGAATAATGACAAACTGAATTCCTAGTAAGGGCACCAGGATTAGTGTGGCTCTGACAGCTTTCATGTACATGTTGGACTCAGCCCGATGAGTATCTCTTAGCTTTGTCACCAGAACTCGGACGATGTTAAGCAAAAAGAAAAAATTGACCTAAAAAAGAGAGAGTCTTTATTGGTAAAACACTCAAATTAAAATACAAAACCCAGCAATGACAACAAAACACAGCTTCATGGCCCTGTTAGAGCTCAAAACAACAGCTCATTGGGATTGACATTGTGCCCGCAAGGGCAGGGGGAAATACCAGCGAATGGATGACACTCAGGCCTGAAAATAGTAAGTTACGCTTTATTGAAGGAAGAACTTACGCTCCAATCTGCGCGGGAGCCCCTAGGACGTGAGGAGGGACTGCAGGGGACTCTGGCCATTCGGGACAGCTGACCAGGCAGGACTCCGCCGAGGGGGAGTCCTCTGCGGTGTTATATTCTCCATGCTTATCTCAGGGTTTCATAGGGTCAACAGCTGGTTACATTCTTACATGTATAATTTATGATTGTTACATAAACTGACTTGTTTACAGGCAAAAAATATGCTGAGCTATGCGAAGATATCTTTTGGCAGGGTCTGTCAGACAAAGTTCATTGAAACTGCCTGCATCCTCCGCTTACATCCAGTCACATGCTCAGTCCACCACTTAGCTCCTCGCCAATCTTCCGCAACCTTGCCCCTTCAGACATACAGACCAAAGTATAACAAGGAGTCTGGTGGCACCTTAAAGACTAACAGATTTATTTGGGCATAAGCTTTCGTCGGTAACACACCACTTCTTCAGATGCATACTCCATACATGTGAAGAAGTGGTGTTTTACCCACAAAAGCTTATGCCCAAATAAATCTGTTAGTCTTTAAGGTACCACCAGACTCCCTGTTGTTTTTGTGGATACAGACTAACACAGCTACCCCCGATACTTGAGACCAAAGTATGTAACCTTGGGTGCCTTAACACACCTACTGCCAGATTTACATCAGTGGAGGATGTGCCCCCTAAATCCCTTTTTGGGCTGTAAGGGCTCAATCCTGCAAGGTGCTGAACTCTCTGGCTCCAATCTGGCAAAGCACTAAAATTATGCCCACTCAGTACCATCGAGTTCTTTACTGAACTCAATGGTACTACTTATGTGCTTAAAGTTAAGCATGTGCTTAAGTACTTTGCTGGTTTGCTGCCTGTCACTCTGTTTCTGCTGGGCAAAGAGCAGATATTGTGTTTCCATGACACAGCCACATTATGAATAGCACATTTTCAAACCAGGTATTATAACTGAGCCCCTGCAACCTCAAAGGCAGGGGGGCTTTGTCTGGATGGGTGAGGGAATAAAAGGTAGTAGCTCCTTTAAAAATCACCTTCTCTTGTGGATTCGGGTGGTGATGGGTAGGCATTATCTGTGATGGTGGGGCTCCCATAAACCATTGACCCCCTGCACATCTGAGAGAGGGGATTTAAGCCCTGTCTCTCCAGGTTAAGCACCTTCTCATGCCTGGATTAGCTCTATTTTAAAGAAAGATTAACTTTTCCCTAGAAACATGATAGATCTTTTTCTTAGGGTGTCTGAAAGATACAGCATTGGAGAAGAGTATTAAAAATCCAAAAAGACTTACGTGCCCTCTGTCAGACTCAGCATTATGACAGCAGAACATTTTTTAGGTTGCTTTAATAAATCCGGTGCTGGGAGCTAAATTCCTTCTAAGCTGCATGGCAGAACAGCAGGCTATAAAGGTGTGACGAAGTTGGGGAATTTTCTAGTGGTTTACATGAACAGTGTCTGCACACCTCAGTTTTCCTGTGTGCTGCATGTTTAACAAGGTGGTGGGAGAGGGTTTTTTGTTGCAGAGGACCAGGTGTGACCTCACCTAGCACCTGGGACCCCGGCCAATGGCCTGGATATGGGGGATCCTAGTGACTGGTGACCTGGTGACCAAGAGGCTCAGCCCAGCTTGGAAGGCAGCCAGTTCAGGGCAGTGGAAGGACAATGGGCTGAGGATTGAGGACCCCGGTTACCTGACCAACCAGTTCCAGCCATGGGGGAACATAGGATGGAGGAGAGAGGGCCCCAGCAACCTGTTTACCTGGGATGGAAGACAAAGGACAGGGGAGGAGCTGTTGGGACTGGTGATATAGGACGCTTTGGCTAGAAAGAGGGGACTGCTGGACTGGGGAGAGAGAGCAGTCAGAGCCCATCTGGATGTAGTAGAGACCTAGATATATTGTGCCGAGGGATGTTAGGCCTGAGGGCCCGGAGAGTTTCCTGTGCTGGGTTCAGATGCTCAATAAACCCTTCTGTTTTACGCTGGCTGAGAGTCACTCCTGTCTAGAGATTAGGGTTGCATTATTCCCTCTGGGGGTGGAGGACCCAGGGGATACAGAGTGAATTAACTCCTTAGGGGGGGCCACAGTGAGAGACAGGCATTCAGAGAGGTGCTGTTCCAGGAGGCAGAGGGGCCTATGGCTTAACCCTCGAGAGAGAGAGTGGACCCCAGAGAAGGGCTGTCGCACTGAAGGGGGTTCCTCCCAGGGACCGTACAGAGCTGGGAGAGAGCATGAGTCCTGAGAGTCTGTGATAAAAGGGCCAAGCACGGGTGCAGCCATAGGAGTCTGGGGAAAGGAGAGAGGTAGGTGGGGAGGGGAGCAAGTTGGGGGCATGCAGGGCTGCTGCGGGGAGAGACACCTCTCCCCCGGCCCTGGAGCTGCTGTCAGTGGGGAGAAGCGCCTCTCCCTGGGAGCTGCTGTTAGTGGGGAGAGGGCTGGGGGCTGTCCCCTGGCCCCAGCCCTGGGTCAGCCTATACCCCAAACTCCTCATCCCCTGCCCCACTCCACAGCCCACACCCCCAGCTGGAGCCTTCACCCCCTGCACCCCAGCCCCCTGCCCCAGCCTGGAGCCCCCTCCCACACCCTGAACCCCTCATTCCCGGCCCCACCCCAGAGCCCTCACCCCCCTGCACCCCAAACCTCTGCCCCAGCCCTGAGCCCCCCCACTCCAAACCCCTTGGCCCCACCCCGCCACACGTCACCTCCATATCGGTGCACATAACAAAATTCATTCCACAGGTGGATATAAAAAATTAGAGGGAACATTGGCTGTGAATGATTGTAAAGAGGAGGAGCTCACTGAGTATTCTCATTCCAGGCAGGAAAATTTGTTACCATACCAAGCAGTGTGACTTGTTTTCACAAATGCTATATTACAAAACTATCCTGTGTAGTTTTCCATTTCCCATATGTGATTAGAACAATTAAACTTAGAACGGAGATAGTAAGTTATTTTCTAGACAATTTTTAGGAAGCATACTGCAGCTTGGTATTGCTGAAATCCAGTAACAGTTCTTAAAGGAGGTTTAGAACAAGATTTTAAAGATTTTTAACTACTCTGAAACAGATCCATGTTCATTTATAGACATTTCCACAATGCTCAGCACCATCGCATTTGATCTCTCAGAAAAATAATGTGGATGTTTGCAAGTAGATGTCAGATCCCAAGCCAATGAAAGTTGAATCTGTTGGGATGCTGACACAGTGCATCTGGGTGACAAATGGAGATAGGACTAATGTTTGGTATGAATAAAAACTTTCCCAAAATTTCAGGGTGTTCAGGTCTGTTTACCAGTTTGTGTATTTTATATTAATAGGACAGTGGAACTAGTGGATTCCCTGATGCATATACTCCTGTCATATGAACATTAATGGAAGTTACGGGGTTGGTTTTACTATATAGGCAGAACTTGTAGGTGCCTAGGGTGGCAAGACAGAGTGAGTGGGAAAAAAACAAAAAAGCCAACCTTGGGAATCCTAGCTGCAACTTCCTTGATTTGCAGTCTCGTGCTCTGTGCTGCTCCTACTCAAGCATTCTATTCAGGTTCTTATCCCCCCAGCCTCTTCCCAGTTTAGCTCCCTACCTCTGTTCCCTTTTACTACAGCATCCAACAAAAAAGGGTAATTCACCACTGGAACAATTTACCAAGGGTAGTGGTGGATTCTCCATTACTGGTACTTTTCTATCTGGTAAAGATCTATCATGTCTCTAGGGAAAAGTAATTTTAAAATCAAGACAGGATATTTTTCTAAAAGCTATGCTCTAGTTCAAACAGGAATTATTTTGGGGAAGTTCTGTGGCCTGTGTTATGCAGGAGGTTAGACGAGATGATCACAATGTTCCTTTCTGCCTCTGAATTTATGAAAACCAATGCTGAATTATTGACTTGGTCTCAGGCTAGTCTGAAACATAGTTATTTCACGTATACCACATATAATGCAGCACATTTAGCACAGGTAAGGTTAACTGCATACAATAGAAGATTCAGTAGTTTAAATAGCTTGGCCATGATTTTCAAAAGGAATTAATGAATTTGGATGCCTCTGTTTTTAGATTGCCCCAACCTGAGACACCTTGAAGGGGCTTGATTTTCAGAAAGTGCTGAGCACCCACCCTCTGAAAATCAAGTCCCCTTAAGGGAGTCTCAGGTGGGGCATCCAAAATCACTTGCTACCTTTGAAAACCTTGGCCAACCTATTTAAGATACAGAATCTTCTATTCAATGCAATTTTGCATCATTTCTGGGAAGAGCAACTAAACTATTAACATGATAACAAATAATATTCTTACCAATAAAGCTGCCATTACAGGTCCATGAACAATATAGAGCAAGTGAGTGTCAACGCTCATCCAGCAGCTGGAGGAAGAATATATCATTAATTCAAATACATTTTTATACAAAGCTATAAAATGTGCTAAGTACCTTTAAAATAGATATAATACTCATACTCACTTGTCATTGAAGTATTTGGCTCTTGCAACAGCGTGAATAGATGCTGGCACTAAAGGAAACCCTACAATGATTAACGGTATACATCAGCCTTCATATTTTTTGGCATGCATTTCATGTGACACTTCAAATAACATTTCTTCTTTTTAAAAATCACGTATAAATGGGAATTCAAAGCTTTGACAAAAGAATTATAATAATAATATAATAATTGACTTTGAGTCATATGGCTTTCTCAGTTGTGAGATGTAGAGGAGAGACTTCAACTCCCTCAGGGAACGGATGGCCAGGATCCCCTGGGGGACTAACTTGAAGGGGAAAGGAGTCCAGGAGAGCTGGCTGTATTTCAAGGAATCCCTGTTGAGGTTACAGGGACAAACCATCCCGATGAGTCGAAAGAATAGTAAATATGGCAGGCGACCAGCTTGGCTTAATGGTGAAATCCTAGTGGATCTTAAACATAAAAAAGAAGCTTACAAGAAGTGGAAGGTTGGACATATGACCAGGGAAGAGTATAAAAATATTGCTCGGGCATGTAGGAATGAAATCAGGAGGGCCAAATCGCACCTGGAGCTGCAGCTAGCGAGAGATGTCAAGAGTAACAAGAAGGGTTTCTTCAGGTATGTTGGCAACAAGAAGAAAGCCAAGGAAAGTGTGGGCCCCTTACGTAATGAGGGAGGCAACCTAGTGACAGAGGATGTGGAAAAAGCTAATGTACTCAATGCTTTTTTTGACTCTGTCTTCACTAACAAGGTCAACTCCCAGACTGCTGCTCTGGGCATCACAAAATGGGGAAGAGATGGCCAGCCCTCTGTGGAGATAGAGGTGGTTAGGGACTATTTAGAAAATCTGGACGTGCACAAGTCCATGGGGCCGGACGAGTTGCATCCGAGAGTGCTGAAGGAATTGGCGGCTGTGATTGCAGAGCCATTGGCCATTATCTTTGAAAACTCGTGGCGAATGGGGGAAGTCCCGGATGACTGGAAAAAGGCTAATGTAGTGCCAATCTTTAAAAAAGGGAAGAAGGAGGATCCTGGGAACTACAGGCCAGTCAGCCTCACCTCAGTCCCTGGAAAAATCATGGAACAGGTCCTCAAAGAATCAATCGTGAAGCAGTTGCATGAGAGGAAAGTGATCAGGAACAGCCAGCATGGATTCACCAAGGGAAGGTCATGCCTGACTAATCTAATCGCCTTTTATGATGAGATTACTGGTTCTGTGGATGAAGGGAAAGCAGTGGATGTATTGTTTCTTGACTTTAGCAAAGCTTTTGACACGGTCTCCCACAGTATTCTTGTCAGCAAGTTAAGGAAGTATGGGCTGGATGAATGCACTATAAGGTGGGTAGAAAGCTTGCTAGATTGTCGGGCTCAACGGGTAGTGATCAATGGCTCCATGTCTAGTTGGCAGCCGGTGTCAAGTGGAGTGCCCCAGGGGTCGGTCCTGGGGCCGGTTTTGTTCAATATCTTCATAAATGATCTGGAGGATGGTGTAGATTGCACTCTCAGCAAATTTGCGGATGATACTAAACTAGGAGGAGTGGTAGATACGCTGGAGGGGAGGGATAGGATACAGAAGGACCTAGACAAATTGGAGGATTGGGCCAAAAGAAATCTGACGAGGTTCAATAAGGATAAGTGCAGGGTCCTGCACTTAGGACGGAAGAATCCAATGCACCGCTACAGACTAGGGGCCGAATGGCTAGGCAGCAGTTCTGCGGAAAAGGACCTAGGGGTGACAGTGGATGAGAAGCTGGATATGAGTCAGCAGTGTGCCCTTGTTGCCAAGAAGGCCAATGGCATTTTGGGATGTATAAGTAGGGGTATAGCGAGCAGATCGAGAAACGTGATCGTTCCCCTCTATTTGACATTGGTGAGGCCTCATCTGGAGTACGGTGTCCAGTTTTGGGCCCCGCACTACAAGAAGGATGTGGATAAATTGGAGAGAGTCCAGCAAAGGGCAACAAAAATGATTAGGGGTCTAGAACACATGACTTATGAGGAGAGGCTGAGGGAGCTGGGATTGTTTAGTCTGCAGAAGAGAAGAATGAGGGGGGATTTGATAGCTGCTTTCAACTACCTGAAAGGGGGTTCCAAAGAGGATGGCTCTAGACTGTTCTCAATGGTATCAGATGACAGAACGAGGAGTAATGGTCTCAAGCTGCAGTGGGGGAGGTTTAGATTGGATATTAGGAAAAACTTTTTCACTATGAGGGTGGTGAAACACTGGAATGCGTTACCTAGGGAGGTGGTAGAATCTCCTTCCTTAGAGGTTTTTAAGGTCAGGCTTGACAAAGCCTGGCTGGGATGATTTAACTGGGAATTGGTCCTGCTTCGAGCAGGGGGTTGGACTACATGACCTTCTGGGGTCTCTTCCAACCCTGATATTCTATGATTCTATGATTCTAATTGTGATACTTCTGTCAAAAGCAGCCATGGAGAAGTGTCTTGCTACCATCTCAGCTCAAAGCTGCTGTCAGTCACTCCAAGCATGTTGAAATATATGCAGGGAAAGGGGGAATGGCCAGCCACACTGGGGAGGAGAGAGAGGGAGCATGATATTCTAGGTGAAGTATTCCCTTTGGAAAGCAGGGTTCCTTGATATGTAAATCCCCACTGAATAGGGCAGCAGTAACTTATTCTGCATGCCAGCTGATGGAGCAATAAATGACAATACAGCAACCAGGCTGCTTTTACTGAGGCTGAGGCCCAGGCCCTAGAAAATGTATAGAGTGGAGCCAGGAGTCTTACAAGCGTGTGAAATCTTGGAGTGTTTACTCTGCTAATCCTGCAGATTCCCAGATACTGTACTTTCAGATGGCCCTACTCCACATGTCTATCATTAGTAAGGAGGATATGGTAGAAATCCTGACTCTTCCTATCCCCATATCAGCTCACGTAAGTCCTCTTTTGATGTGAAAGAGGAGGATACTGCACTTACAGACTGCTGTAGGGGGCCCATTTTTCTTTTTATGGCAATCCTGCAGAGGGAACCACTTGTACGAGGCTGAAGGTGTGGAAACCTGCCATGCTGTATTCTCTTCCTAGACCGAAGGAGCAGGCTTGATGTTTTCTAGTCATCCGGGGTTTTTTTTTGAGAATCCTGCCTCCAAACCCTTGAATCTTGGGAAATCCATGCCACACTAGTTTCCCACCCCCACCATTAACAGCGTGGTGATTCAGTAATCAAGCCTTCCCATTCCAACAGGCTAAGAACCATGAAAAGGGGAGGTTTTCTAAAATGATAACATTAATTTATACAACATTTTACTTTGTAAACTGTGATGGACCTGGTAAGCAGGAAACGACCTTATCCAACAACTCTGCACAACCCCTTCCCTTGACCATGTGTGTGGAAGGGGCCCAGAAACATGGAAAGACCCTGACCTAGGATGTGTCCTAGTTCTTGGAAAAACAGCAATGGCATGTCAAGCCAGGAGCAGCAAGGAAGCAGGATGCATGGAGAAACCACCAGCAACTGTGTAGCTCAAGGTGTGACTGCTGGGTGCAGGTCTGTGAGGGACTTGTGAGGAAGCAGCAGAAACTGGGAAGGAAGCCAGTACAGAGGGGACCCAATAAAAGAGATACCATTAAGTGATCCTGGCTTGGAAACCTGCAAGTTCCTATTTGCTTTGAATAGAAGACTGGGCTGAAGAGGGCACCCCAGACACTAAGCCTGAAGAGTCCGAACTCTCTGCTGGACTGACCCAGGGGCCCAAATAAGATCTGCTATTGTTTTCTTTGAGTTGTAAGTGTTTAAGCCTCCATAGCGAGGGTATTTGCAACCTTTGCTTTTCTTGCCATCCCTGGGAAAATACTCTCTCTCTTTAGCTAAGTGTCTGAGTGGTGATTGGAACCCATCTGTGCTAGTTCTTAGGGGGCCTAGCGACTGAATCACCATCAGTGCTTGCCTCTGAGTTACACTGGCCCACCACTAGCACCTTAGAAGTAGTGAACCAGTCATCAAGGGTTTAACTAGGTCAGTCAGAGTATTATGGGTTGGGGCCACGCTCCCTTACTTCCTGTTTACTGAGTGGGAGTTCCCCTCACTGCTCCACACACTCTGTTGCAATGTATTTAAATAAAGCAGCAACTTCGCAACCCTTAGTCCTGTGAGTAGACTTATTTTTGTTGCATGAAGCGGTCTCTTTACAACAACTTTGGTGCACCACAGTCCAGCAGCTGTGCTAATTACCAAACTAAAGGCCACTGCTACGGTGTCATGTCTTAGTGACACCTCGCTTTAGCACTGCCAGCCAAATCTCTGACTTTCTAGCTGGCCGCTCCCTTTTGATATGTAACCAATTGCTGCCATGGGGCTGCCAGCATCTCTGTAGTGATAAGCTAGTGCACCTTCTAGTCACCATTCCTTTTTCTGCACACCCGAAAGCCATATTTTCATGTGAATTTATTTGTTTGCCGCCCACCACACAGTGGAGGTTACCACACTGTGGAGGATCCTAAGTTTGTAGACTTTATATTTATAAATTAATTAGGGCTGTCAAGCAATTAAAAAAATTAAAAAAATTAATCGAGATTAATCACATGATTAAAAAAATTAATTGCGATTAATCACACTGTTAACAATAATAGAATACCATTTATTTATATATTTTTGGTTGTTTTCTACATTTTCAAATATATTGATTTTAATTACAATACAGAATACAAAGTGTACAGTGCTCTCTTTATAATTGTTTTTGATTACAAGTATTTGCACTGTAAAAAAACCAAAAGAAATAGCATTTTTCAATTCACCTAATGCAAGTACTGTAGTGCAATCTCTTTATCATGAAAGTTGAACTTACAAATGTAGAATTACGTACAAAAAATGCATTCAAAAATAAAACATGTAAAATTGTATAGCCTGCAAGTCCACTCAGTCCTACTTCTTGTTTAGCCAATCGCTCAGACAAACATTGTTTACATTTTCAGGAGATAATGCTGCCCATTTCTTGTTTACAATGCCACCTGAAAGTGAGAACAGATTGCACTGTTGTAGCCAGCATCGCAAGATATTTACTTGCCAGATGCACTAAAGACTCATATGTCCCTTCATGCTTCACCCACCATTCCAAGGGACATGTGTCCATGCTGATGATGTATGTTCATTTTCATCATCTGAGTCAGATGCCACCAGAAGAAGGTTGATTTTCTTTTTTGGTGGTAGAATGTAGTTCTGTAGTTTCCGCACTGGAGCGTTGCTCTTTTAAGACTTCTGAAAGCATGCTCCACACTTCGTCCCTCTCAGATTTTGGAAGGCACTTCAGATTCTCAAACCTTGAGTTGAGTGCTGTAGCTATCTTTAGAAATCTCACACTGGTACGTTCTTTGTGTTTTGTTTAATTTGCAGTAAAAGTGTTCTTAAAATGACCAACATGTGCTGGGTCATCATCCGAGAATGCTATAACATGGAATTTATGGCAGAATGTGGGTAAAACCATGGAGCAGGAGACATACAATTCTCCTCCATGGAGTCCAGTCACAAATGTAATTAACGCAGTTTTTTAAACAGGCATCATCAGCATGGACACATGTCCTCTGGAATGGTGGCTGAAGCATGAAGAGACATATGAATGTTTAGCATATCTGGCACATGAATACCTTGCAATGCTGGCTACAAAAGTGCCATGTGAATGCCTTTTCTCACTTTCAGGTGACGCTGTAAATAAGAAGTGGGCAGCATTATCTCCCATAAATGTAAACAAACTTTTTTCTCTTCGTGATTGGCTGAACAAGAAGTAGGACTGAGTGGACTTGTAGGTTCTAAAGTTTTACATCATTTGGTTAATTAGTGCAGTTATGCAACTAAAAAAAAATCTACATTTGTAAATTGCACTTTCACGATAAAGAAATTGCACTACAGTACTTGTATGAGATGAATTGAAAAACAATATTTCTTTTGTTTGTCAGTTTTACAGTGCAAATATTTGCAATCAAAAGTAATATAAAGTGGGCACCGTACACTTTGTATTCTGTGTTATAATTGAAATCAATATATTTGAAACTGTGGAAAAACATCCAAAAATAGTTCATAAATGTCAATTGGCATTCTATTGTTTAACAGTGCAATTAAAACTGCAATTAATCGGGATTAATTTTTTTAATTGCGATTAATTTTTTTGAGTTAATCGCATGAGTTAACTGCAATTTATTGACAGCCCTAAAATTAATACATTTCAAAGTGAAATAGTTGAAAAACAGTTTTATTCCTTTCTATAGTCAGGAGGAATGTAGCTCTTTGGATTGCTTGCTTTAAGTGTCAGTGACCTCATCAGTGCTTTTAGGAGAAACACAGAGACCTGAACTCAGGCCTTGGCAAGCAAAGCTTTGTTCGGTTCACCTTCAAAGAATGCTCATGGCCAGAAAAGTGACCATGTCAATATGATGTCATTTTGGTCACTGTATCAGCTCCCTGGGGGTCTTCAAGAGATATCCACTTACTCAGCTGCCAAAATAATTTTTCACTACAGTTAGGACTGCAGAGTCAATGAAGATCAAACTGGATCTTTTTCTGTTTCATGCATCACTAACCACAATATTAGTGATGTTCCTGTTGCAGAATCTTTTTAATGACAATAATGCAGAAGAAGCAGGAAGAACGTAGCTCCAGATCCCATTTTTATGGAGCCACTTAGTAATACCAAAATTTAAAACCAGGGATTTACGTGAAAAATGTATAGGTGCAGTGCTACACATGGTGAGAGTGGTGTTTTATTATTCTGTTAGGTGCATATGCACAGAGAACTTGGCTCTACACATTCAAATGTACATATTTAGGTACAATTGAAAGTTTTCATTAGTATATTATAGTTCAGCAAGCTCATATTTATCTAGCTTTAATTTCCAATGTTACTCTCCAAATTTAGGCCAAATTGTGATCTGCCCTTGTGCAGTTCCACAAAGTTTGGAAGGGTGAACCAGAAACAGTGAATAAAGACTGCTTGGTCTTTACTTCTTCCAGGAAGCAAAACACACAGAGAGGGATGGAAGAAGATGAGACCATGATTCAACTCTCTCTTTCCCCAGACCTGGGCATGGCGCTGCGCTGGTTCACCAGAAAGAGAAGGGGCAATCTGTACCATCCTTATAGATGAAACAGAGCATACACCCCTTGGGCTAACTAAGAAGCGCTGCGGGAGACGGTGCATCCTTAGGCACCAGGCAAACCTCTCTTGGTCATTCCTCAGAGCGGTGCAGCTATGTGCTGTCCCCTATATTGGGATGTGTGAAAAATCACAAATTGTAGCCTCTAGGAAGCATCTGAAAGTAGCCAGCCAGTGATAAATATGACAAATCCCTACAAGCGAGCCCTGTTCTTGCTATGGCACAAAATGGAGTTAGGCTTGAGTGCACTTCCAGTTACATTGTGAAAGAATCTGTTTCAGCATGGCCCTAACCAATGATCCCCCGTTGAATTAAATGCAGTTCAGGCTGTTTGAAACAGCAAAACAGAGTGTAACTGAGTGCATTTGAAACTATTTCTCCTGACCAGTGATTTAGGAGTAATTTACTAAAACACTGAAATAATAACAGATAAAGAAAGGGATCTCAGAAGGGAATGTTGCTCGAACAAATCATGCTAGAAATACACAGTTGCCTCAAGGGTCAACATATTACAGAACCTATTCAATGATTTTAATTACCTCCGCACGGGGAAGCATGGGGAACTTTCTCAGATATTTTCTTTTCTTTAAAAGCTATGTTTTACTATTGCTTTAGTGGGTCTGGTAAATAAAGCGAGCTCGCCTAGTGATGAAATTGACAGCGCTGAAATCAGATTATTGTTATAGTTATATAGTATACATATACAGTGTTTTCAAACACAATTGAGTCACATTCACTAGCCGTGAAATGAGAATTTACACAACAATTTACTGTGTAAACTAAGGGCCAATGCCATGATGGCATGTCTTATAGTGGCAGTCATGCCCTAGAACTTCCAGCCAACTTTTGAACTAAGTGGCTACTCTGTTTTAATGTGTAGAAAGGAAACATTTAAACGTGACACAAAAAGAAAGGTGATTGTTTCACTGTTCTCCTATTTGGGCCTGATCCACCACAATAAATCTGAACCTTCTGAACTGTGGAGCCTTCGTAAGGCTGATGTTCTTGCTCTAGCACAGGTCAGCTATTCAATTGACAGACACGCTGCACATACCTTTCCTCAATTATGAAGTTGTCCAAGGATAAAAAGACTTCCCCCTGTTTAGGGCTCATAATGTTCCATGCATTTTTAAATCTTAGAGTATGCAAAATCCCTCCCTTCCCATGAACGTTGCTAATCTCACAAGAAAGGGAGAGACAATTTCTATCTACTCTGGAATTTACAGGATGGAGATGTTCTCCGGGGCTTAAACTGGGAGAAGCTTTTAAGTTCTGTTTAATTCTTAAGGTTTCTGATCAGTGGTGGTGTGCCATAGAGTACTGAGTCCCATATAGCTCAGGAACTGAGGAGACTGCCACACTCTTAAGTGATCCCTCCCAGGGAAAGGAGCGAAGCATTGCATTTTGCTGTCTCTGTCTATAAAGGACTCATAGAATCATAGAAGATTAGGGTTGGAAGAGACCTCAGGAGGTCATCTAGTCCAACCCCCTGCTCAAAGCAGGACCAACCCCAACTAAATAAACCTGTCATGGGAGGCCTGAGAAGTGGTCAGGGAGGAATTGAGCAACAGATGCAGGTTCAAGTCAGTTCTCATTTTTGTCCCATCTAGTTTATACCTAAGCCCACAATTTTTTTTCCTGGTGAGGTTTGGTTTCTTCCTACCATAAATGAAAAGAAGCTCAGCAGACATGAATCATGCAGAGGGGGTGCTGGACAGCACAGGGTAAATTCTGTCAGCTGCCTCTTGGGTTTGAAATAGATAGACATGGGCAAAGAATCCTGAAATGAGAAGCAGGAGAAAGACCTCTGAGCTGCTTCCCAGATGTGTTAGTGAGTTCTGTGATATGGGCTGGGCACTCGTTCACCGAGAATTGGAATGAGACCAGAAATTCGTTATCTGTAGCCAGCTAAAGAAAGTATTGATGGTAAGGGCTTTCTGTCACCACTTACCTGGGCTGAATTTACAGCAAATACTTTTAAAATGAAAGAGTCTGCATCCCACTGTAAGGGACTGGCTGTGTGTATGTGCATGTGTTGCCTGTTAGTGGCCAAACAACTGAGGAGGATGAGGGCTACCACTATTATTACTCCTAGGCAAGAGACATGTTTTACAGACTCAGAAGAGGCCTGCATATTTGGAGCTGAAGGAGCATAACTCTAGACACAGCTCCCTAGGTTGTGTGCATGTGATTTACATTGTCATTGGATCTGTTCTCTGCAGCACATGGATTTGTAACATCAGTTACAGGGCATTGAGGATGTTTACTTACTTATCTGTATATCGCTCTGAGATACTTAGACATATTACCTTATATTTTGGGGGTTAGAAATTTACATGTTCAACACTTAGCCATTTCTTCCAAGACTACCATCATCAAGGATACCAACTACTACTATCACAGACATGTGTGTATTAATTACAACGAGTGCACACACTGTCCTGTGCAAATAAATGAAATCCAGTTCAAATTTAGGCTCCCAAGAGATCAAACTTAGGTTCTAATACACACCTTTGAATAAAGCTAGTTCATGTGTGCAAGTGGTGGCAGGATCGGGTCCCTAGCATATAAAAGTGCCATAAACATTGGAAAGAAGTGACCGAGAAGATATGAATTGTAAAATACATACCCCAGCCCAAGAGGTAATACCAGTGCAAACGCTGCTCTTCAGCAAATACTGCCACCACAATTAGAGTGTGAAGATATATGCCCTCGCAGAGCATCCAGAAGTAGTTACAACCCAGCATGTACTGGTGAAAAAACTGCAGCACCTTGCAGCTTACCTGTCAGACAAATTGGAGAGTAGTAAACTGTAGATCTGGACAGACAATGGTTTACAAACTGTATCCAAGCAGACAAACAAAAGATCAGTGCCAAGCTTCAAAGACAACATTTCCTAGCATTTGCTAGATTTCTTCAGCAAATGTCATTGACAGAGCTATAACATATTCATACATCAGAAAAATGGAGTCAATGTATCTCATAATTGATAAAAATCAGGTGCCAACAGCAAAATTAAAACAAGCATGATCTGGTAAAACCACACTTCAAAACACTTTCAGTCTGATAAGTTTTAGAACTGAAGTAAACAACTTTTTCTAAAAAGCCCAGCCAAGTTCTGTGCAGAAGAGTTAAACAACTGAGTCTGTCCAAATGTCTAATTCAGCTGTTTTATTTTGCATTTATTCAAATAATTACTAGCTATAAACAGCTCTCCTGTTTGATTTTATACTAATGATCCACAAAGATATATACAAGGGATGCACCATATTTACAGGTGTGTCTACACTTAGAATGCTAGAGCAGCCCAGCTGTAGTGCTTCAGTGTAGACACTACCTACTCCGAGAGGAAGCGTTTTCCTGTCAGCAGAGATCTTCCACCTCCCCGAGAGGCAATAGCTAGGTTGACAGAATAATTCTTCCATCAACCTAGCGCGATCTAAATTGGGACGTAGGTTGGCTTAACAATGCCATTGAGAGGTGTGGATTTTTCACACCCCTTGCTGATGTAGTTAAACTGACCTAATTTTCTAGTGTAGACCACACCTAGAGCTCTTATTCACTGCCTACTGAGGACGAACTGCTATTGGACTCAGTGGGAGTTTCTCCTGGTTAATGTGCCATGAATGCTGAGGAGGGCCTCTAAAGGTATATACAGTGTTACAGTACTTTCCACTGCTCTTACAGAAGCAAAAAACAAGGGGGAAAAAGGAGGAGAGGTGTTACAAAGGGCCAGACTGTGCCCAGCTCCTGTGACATTTTTCCAAAAAGGAAGAAGGTGTGAGGATTCTCTCACCTTGGTGACCTCTAGGAGAGGTTAAATGTAACTGCAATCCTTGCACTCGCTTGAGCACAAGCCCTGCATGAAGCCATTGCTACTAGAAACCTGAAATGGGGCCATGGCCATTGGCTCACAGGTTGTGAAGGGAAGTCCAGTTGTCTACCATTTTCTGCCTACCTGCCAAAGCTCCAATGGTGCGGAGCAACTCTGTATCTCCCCCTAAATGGGTTAGTGTCAGTGAAGCACAGTCAAGCTGAGAGGATTGAGCAGGACAAGGCCAGTTGCCTTTACAGTTCAAGGTTTCCAGTTCTCTATAAACCAAACCTTATTGCCACAGGGTATGAGGAGAATTCTGTTTGTATACAGAGGGGCTCCTTGCATCCCAACATGCAAGGAGGTTTTGAGGATGCGATGGGCTAGGCTGTTGCTGCAGTGTCTGCGTGAATCCACTGGCTTGTGGCAAGGAAGCACAGGAGCCTCAGAACACCAAGGCTGCAATAGTGACTGTTGAGTGACAGCTGCCATTCTGTGGCTGAAGCAGCAGATTCCTTCCCATTGCTTCTGTCGAGCTCCCCAGGGCACAGCCTGATTACTTGGGCTGTGAGGTGGGTTTAGGCTTTATTTGCCTCTTTAGTGACAAAGGAGACATTATTTTCTGTCACACAAGCAGAGTACTGTACATATTATCTCTTTCTGGAGGGCTCAGCCTGCTCCTCCTGGCTAAAAAGGCTTGTTTTATCACTCCTTAAAACTGTCTTTTCTAGCTATAAAGCACACACATTTACTTGTGTTTCAATATCTGGGTGTGAATTTCAAGGCTCAGGAAAATGCAGAGCTGACAGAATTAACTTGCAGGGCTGACTTTATTTTTTATCATTTCTTTTTCCACTCTATACACAGGCAGACTAGGCAGTTCATCATTTTCCACGGTGCGGCTGAGTAGCTTTGACAAAGCATACAGACAGAGGAGTAGGATGTAATACAGATGTCTTGTAGGAAAAAAATAAAATCCTGTTTTTTATATTGGCAAATGTGCTCATTATGCTGCTTAATTGCGTCTCATATTGTTTTTCACAAGTCTGGGTCAATATGTGCCATGCCTCAGCCCTTGGCATGTGCTGAATATAGCCTGTCAGCTGGGGGCCAACCTTTCTCCATTCACTTTTTATTGATCGCTCATCCTCTTAAGCATTGCCTTGGCTGACAGGCACACAGAGATCTATAAAGATTGCTGTTGAATCTTACTGGCATTTTACCTGACATAAAGTAACTATGCCAAGGTCTAAAATGTCTGTGGACTTCCGTGGTGAACTCATCACTATCTTGTAGACAGAGTGGATCAAGATGAGCATATCTTACATCTGGCCAGCACTCCCTCAAGTGTTGGAGGGCACCAGCTTGGCACCTTCAGACACACGTTGCATCTAGCAGCTATTACGAATCATGGTAATTGTCTGAGAGTGCCGCCTACGGCCACAGTGTCTTCTGTGTGAGTACTGAATGGTCATGTGCAGGGTGCCCCTGTCCCACGTTAAACACCAGACTGCATAAGACCACTCCACTTGGTAGTGCTGACTCTGGTAATGGTGCTGTAGAGTTGATTGGCAATGGCTGGGGTTAGGGAGAGGAAGAAATGATTGGCAGATGCTGCCTGATGCTTTCTGGCCAGCCACTGCCAAATCAACAATTTTGTATTTCCCATCTGAAATGGTAATGAATCTGGAGTTCATTGCACTGTGAATGGCAGCTGCAGTTGCATTTTTCCACCAGGTATATATCCACACTTGTAGGGTAATTTGACCAAAACCAGTTATTGTCATAATTTTCTCTTCACATGTAAGATCTAACGCACACATAAGCACAGTGCAAGTTTCATGGATACTAACTGTATTTATTTCCCATGATGCAACACTTCCCAAGCTTCATTTTCTTTATATTTATTTCCCCATCCCAAACAATTAAAGTTTGTAGCTTTCTAAATTCAATTCTGTACCTACCTGACAAGCTAATCCCCACACACCCATTTCAATTTACGGCTTCTTTGAGGCACTTAGTCACTAGATATGCAATAGGTTTAAGGAAACTATCAGGCTAGGCATGAGGGATGAATTTGATTACGCTTGGATCACATCTCATTAATTTGAGAATAAATTCAAAAAGGTTGGCTTGAATGGTTTAAACATGGCAATCCATCAAGATGGATCATGTTTAATGAACATTATTCAAAACATGGAGCAAATCAGTTTTTGCTTACGATGAACAAAACAGTACAGCATCTTTCATTTGTGTACAAGTGGTGTCATGGAATTTGTGTGGACAGCTACAGTCACAAGCAGCATTTTTCTTAGTCCTTGTCAGTTCTATTAACGTGAAAGAAAAAGAACGAATGCTGAAGAAGAATTTACATTATAATCGGCAGGCACAGTTACCAAGTCATTTGGCAGGTTATTAAAAAATGCTGACAAATATAGAAGCACTGTATCAGCACAGATTTGTCTGAGCTATGAAAAACCATGCCTGCTCTAAACTAGGTCTCTGTAAAGTGCTTATGTTACTGTAACAATTATACTGAAACTGCAAAAAGTTAAAGGAACAACTCTTCCACCATTTACATGCCTGATAACTTTGACTTGCATAATTAATTAAAAAAAGTAATTTAATGTGGCTCCGTCATATGTTACGCTCAAGTGACATCGGTATCACTATGCCGCTCAGGGGTGTGAAAAATCCATACCCCTGAACGACACAGTTATACCAACCTAACTCCTGGTGTACATAGCGCTGTGCCGATAGGAGATCTTCTCCCGTCAACACAGCTACCGCCTCTTGTGGAGGTGAATTCATTACACTGATGGGAGGAGCTCTACCCTTTGCATAGTAGCATCTTCACTGAAACACTACAGTGGCACAACTTCACTGGTGCAGCTGTGCTGCTGCAGCATTTTAAGCGTAGACTTGCCCTTAGAGTATAAGCTTTTGGGGGAAGGGACTGTCTCCTTGTTATGAGTCTGTAAAGAGCCTAGCACAATTGGGCCCTGGCTTCTAGGTGAAACCACATTACAGCAATATTATTTTTATCATTATTATTAATAAAAATAATAAAAAATATTCTGCTATCTACAACCCACACATTTCTTGGAGACATTTCCAGCTACAATACATAACAGAAATAATGCAGGGGATACAGAAACTGATCGGAACATCCCTACATGGGAAAGTCATATTTTCTCTTACACATAATCTGTCCAATTAAATTTTAGCAAGACAAGCCAGAGGCTGGATTTTGTGATGCTCTCGAGGTCTACAGCCCTGATCCTGCCAGAAGATCCACAGCCGAGCTCCATTCAGAGATTTCATGGGGGTCCGCTCATGTGGATCGTCTTGCAAGACTCAGACATAAGATAGATTTCAGAGTAACAGCCGTGTTAGTCTGTATTCGCAAAAAGAAAAGGAGTACTTGTGGCACCTTAGAGACTAACCAATTTATTTGAGCATAAGCTTTCGTGAAGTAAGCTGTAGCTCACGAAAGCTTACGCTCAAAGACATAAGATATGCATTATACTGCAAGTTACATTTTATCTGTTCCTCTGTTAACACAAGGGCACTTGCTCATATATACTTGACACTTCTCAGATAAGACTTTCCATACCACTTGATCACCTCTGAATAAAAACCACTATTCAAGAACTAAGCATCAATTATTATTACTATATTATTATCAAAATCCATGAGGATTATATACAAATAGGATAACACCGTAAAATATCATATACCATGAATCACTGTTTGAAACTAGACAGATTTTTCATACCTTCTCATTAGTTTGGATGAATGGGGCAAATTTCGGTCACAGCTTTGGACACAGCTGAAGAAAGTCTCATTGATTTCCTGCCTTCCCTCCCTCAGAGCCGTTCCCTACAGTATTCAGGGTGTCAGGCTGACCTGGCGATCTGGTGTTTCTATCTCCCTGGGCCAGCTTTGAATAATCTAGTTCTAAGAGTA